TCATCAATCATATATATTTTTGGGGGAAATGTAAACATTATTGCCTAAAGTACCTTATATAATCTGATAGCTGATCATAACAAAGGATTTTAATGATCTAGAAAGGTAAAGCTGATAAAAGGGTACCATATTTTGGTTTATTTTATTTAGCCTTAAATTATATATTAATATTTTAATGTAAACTCAGTGAATAAGAGCTGATATAATCAATATTTCACATAAGTAGTCTCATCTTTTTAAGACAAAAAAGAAAGAAAGAAAATTAAGCTTTCAATCGTTGCTAATTCCTTGGGAAGTTCTCTAATATTTTACGGGAATATTTTAATAGATCCCAGGAGTTTTGAATATTGCTTTCCCTTGAAATATTTTCCATCTGAAAAAAAAATAATTTCTCCTGGAAAGCGAATTATCTCAAACATATATACTGAAAGCATTTTTAGGAAATGAAAAATTTAAATCCAGTGTCTTTAAAAATCACAAAAATATGTCAGGAAACAAATTTGAAATAAATCACAGAAAATAGTGCCAATGTGTATATATGAATATGTGTGTATCTCTTACAAATTTATTTAAGAGCACGGATATATATGTATATACATACATATACATATATACACATACACACGTAGGTAGCATTACCTACATTTTAATACACACACACACACACACACACACACACACACATACCCACCTCGCTGGGCCTAAACATGCACTAGCAAGTTATTTTAGGGCTTCAACTCTTCAGAAAGTCTCATTATGTGAGGAGCGAAGTGGCTCTGCGGGGAGCATTATGGAAATATCTGGGCTTGATTTAATGAGGCTGTTCACATTGGTGGAATATCAACTTAACAGAGAAAAGTCTACCCAGGGCGTCCAAGTTACCAAAATGAAAATTGGCAATTGAGATGATAAGAACGTGGCTTTCTTCTGCGAAATCACTTCAGGTAACAGAGATAACATTAAATAACATATATTCTATGCACCAAGAACAATGTTTTATGTACCGAGTCTCTTATCCGTCTCTCCTAATGACTTCCCTTAGCGGGTTGTTAGTACTTGACAGCAGGTCTCCGTGCGGGGAACTTTTCTCCAATTCCACATTCAAAGGAGGTCCATCAGAGAGCATGATTGGCAATTTTCGTCATAATCTGCACATTATTAGCATCAAAATTGACGTGGCAGTTAACACTGGTGGGGTTTGATGTACCTTTCTTCAAGTTCAAGGAAACCCCTCCTGTAGCCGGGGTTGGCAGCGGGTCTCAGCAACCCAGCGGTGGCTTTGCAGAGAAGGCATAATAGACATGCGTGAGAAATCTGCCAAGAACCATTTTTACCCCAGGAAAAGGAAAGCGAGGAGGGAAGGGGTTGAGGGGAAATAAGAGTATGAACTTGGAAAAGTGTCTAAAGTGTTTGGGATAATGTCATATATCTAGAGATTCAAGTATTTCCCAGATCGAGTGGAATCTGGCAGTTGGAAAACTGAACTGAAAATGCTTCTCTACAGACTACAGAGATCCGTCAGTTTCGCCCTCACTTTCTGTACGTTTCTCTTTCCTGGCCTGGCCTAGTTTTGGCAACCTCATTAGCCATCACGTTTTGCATAAAATAAAAATGCAGCAGCCTTCCTTATCAAACTCATTGAAATCAAAAAGACCAGAGAACCGAGGTGGAAGGGGACAGAAGAGGAATGACCTGCCATCCCTTCCTCGCCACCTCGGCTTTGTCTTTCTCGGCCTGGAGAGGCGACGGCAGCCTTCCCCGCTGGGCTCCGCACTACGAAGCGGTGTCCCCCCCCCCCCGCACACCTGCAAAGCACCCGCGTTCTCCACCTGCATCCTCGGCCTCCTCACACTTCCATTATCCAGTTCTGCTCCGACAGGGTCCCTAACTAACACGCTCGGGCGGAGAGAAAATGTGCCACCTCCTTCCACCCTCGTTTAAAGAAAAGAAAGGAAAGCTAGAAGAAGAAAAAGAGCAGCATCGTAAACCTCGGGGGGCGACGCCCCCTTCTCCAAAGCACTGGCCACCATTCCCCTGTCTCCTTCGCGGTTCTCCATGGCTTCCAGCTGCACGGCCGATTGACCTGGGACTCAACACTTGCAGCCAGAGCTCAAGACCCTGGAGGACTGGTTTGGGGGACAGGGGATTGTCTTCCCCGAGACCACGAACTCAGGACACAAACGAGAAAAGGAGGCCTGGACGGCGGGAAACGTATTTAGAGGAAGGAGAAGAGGGGAGACAGCTCGGTGGGAAGTACAAAAATAGAAATCACTGGGGGGGGGGACACCCGCCAGGCTAACGTGCCGGCTCCTTTCTCCCCCCAATTCCTTTCGACCTCCTGCGCCCCGGGGCGCCCCCTAGCGACAGCGGTAGCAGCGGGCCGCACACCGAGGAAACCCGGAGCGCACGAAGGGCGCACGGGGGGCGCACAGGGGGCGCACCGGGGACTCGCGGGCACCCGCAGGCCGGCAAGCGCGGCCCCCTGGCGGCGGCGACGTAGTTATCTGGTGAGCGGGGCCTCGTCCCTCTGGTCTGGCGGGCTCACGGCCGTCTTGCTAAGCACTGCGGCGGAGTAGGGCAGGAAGCCACTCTCGGAGCGCGGCGCAGCCGCGCCGCAGCCGAAGTCTGAG